TATCTGTCTCCCTAATGTTAGTAAAGTTCTATAAATAATTTTGACGTGCAAGATGATTTAGTCAGTACTCTAGTGTAAGAAACTTTTTTATGTGAATTGTAAAATATTATGTTAAACTACAACAACGTTATTCTATAATTATGGACTTTCTTGGTGGTGAATATGGTTTGATATTCACCAGAAAAATATCAATATTGACTGAGGCGAAGCATTTATCTAGTGAATATCTAGTGCTATGACCCATTTCCATTTGTGTGTTGTATAGATTATGTATTAGAAACTATAAATCGACCATATAGGTAATGATTTTTTTCACAGAAGCCAAAAAATAATAATAATAATAATAATGATCACTAGAATGTAGCAATAACTTTTGAATTTTCAAAATCCTGTCTGTGTTACAATTTAATTAAAATCAGACTTCTCAGATATATACACGCTGCACAAAGTGTGTTCGGCGCGGATCTAAGAAGTCTGATTTTAATTAGATTGATCTGTGTTACAACGTCTTAAAGATATAAATTTGACCTGTATTGATTCTCCGTGTCTTTCAATAAGATGGCAATTAATATTAATCATAACTACTGAAACTGATTTATTTGATTAAACCTATTTTTACATAAACGTACTCAATGGTATTGTGCAGTAAAACTGTAAAAACAAAATATATGTAAATTTACTTTTAATTCGCTAATATGAGAAGAAAACAATCTCCCTTTTTATTCAAATGAAAAAGGTAAAGATAACTAACATGCAGTGATCGATCCTGTATGCTGAATAGGTAACTAAGGAGACCATTTTGGATATGGTATTTACCATCTTTATGCAACATCAAATATTTATGCTAGCTCTACCTACATAGCGGCCAGGCTAGCTTAACGTTCCGTTTTACAAAAGAACTTACGACTACGACCAAAATTTTATTCTGCTTTTTACTTTCTATTTTACATTTATTTGAAAATGATTTTTATCTTTTTCAAAAAGAATTTAACAATATATTTTTATGCTAGCAATTTCAAACAAAATCATCAATTCTGCAAAATTTTACAATGAACTAAATTTTTTAGTCTTAGTCGTAAGTTCTTCTGTAAAATGGACCCCAGCTGGATCATAGCTTTACGTAGAGGTTACATAGCCGCTACGCTCTTGAACGTACCTCCGGCCAGTGGCGTAGCTAGCTAGTAAAAAATTACAGTATTCAGAAAAGGCAAGAGGTACGGGTTCGCCTTGAGGCCCCCAGCGGGTCCAGGGCATACAGGACCCTGGTTGGGGGCCCAGGGTGCAAAGCCCCCGAAAGCTCCTGTAATATCTTGGTTTTCTATTTTCTTAATTTTACTATATATGGAGAAAAAGGTTGAGTTTTCACAGAATCCACAAAATCTGTTTCTTCAAAAGCATATCCGTTAGTATGAAGGCATTGCATTTCATTTTCAACAGTAAATTACTGCAGATCATACTTGTAACATTCGTTGAATAAAACTGATTTTATTACAGGAGTTATTTTTACAATCAGAAATGCAAAATACGAGGTGACAGCACAAGTTCGCCTTTTTAAAAAACAATTTACGAAAAATATCAAATCTGTCATATTTTAATGTTCAAAATACCATTAAACTTTAATTTTGTCTAAATTTAGCTATTTGTTCAAATTTACTGAGCCCTTTATTTCATTTTAATTTTTTTTTCATTTCAAATGTACCTTTATGTTCCTTCATCGCAATATTCTTTTGAATATGAATATAGAGACAGTTAGTAGAGAATAAAAAAAAAATTATAAACAGAAAAAACAATTTTTGATATGGAATATATTTCACAAGAGAGTATTTTTTATTTTAAATGTTTATAATTTCAGGAGTGCGATATCAAACTTCAAACATCGAATATCCATATAAAATGCTATTACATTTTCAAATATTAATAGTTTTTAAAATAAAGTACCCGTGCAACGCAGTAAATTTGTATTTAAAATTGCCAGTGGAATGAATAGTTTATGTAATTGCTCTAAATTTAAGCTTAAAAAATTTCCTTGAAATTAAAATAAATAAATAATGAATAAATAAATTCGATAAAACAAGAAGAAAACTGTATCAAAAATCCATTAAAAAGCTGAAAATTTCATGGTTCGTATGTATGAATTAAATAAATCTGGAAAGCCTAACTTCAAGTCAGTTTCTTTTCAAACTTCATAATTTTTATGCCCCCGGATCGAAAGATCACGGGGGTATATTGTTTTTGTCCTGTCTGTCTGTTTGTCTGTCTGTCTGTTGTCAACTTTAACCTTGCCCATAACTTTTGATTGGTAGAAGCTATGACTTTCATATTTCACTTGTGTATTTCTTGTGACAAGAGCTTTCTTTGGTTACCATCATATTTGACTTTTTGACCTTGACCTTGGAGTTTGACCCACTTTTGCAAAGTTTTATGAGACTTTAACCTTGGCCATAACTTCTGAACAGTTGGTGCTTAGGGTTTCAAACTTCACATGTGTATTCTTTGTGACAGGACCTTCCTCTGGATGTCAACCACTTTGACCCTTTGACCTTGACCTAAGAGTTTGACCTACTTTTGAAAAACTTTAACCTTGGCCATAACTTTTGAATGGTTGGAGCTAGGGATTTCATACTTCACATATGTAATCCTTGCGACAAGACCTTCCTTTGGATACCATCCACCACTTTAACCTTTTGACCTTGACCTAGGAGTTTGACCTACTTTTGAAAAACTTTAATTTTGGCCATAACTTTTGAATGGTTGATTCTAGGGCTTTCATACTTCACATATGTAATCCTTGTGACAAGACCTTTTTTGGATACAAACCACTTTGAACCCTTTGACCTTGACCTAGGAGTTTGACCTACTTTTGAAAAACTTTAACCTTGGCCATAACTTTTGAACAGTCGGTGCTTAGGGTTCCAAACTTCACATGTGTATTCTTTGTGACAAGACCTTCCTCTGGATATCAACCACTTTGACCCTTTGACCTTGACCTAGGAGTTTGACCTACTTTTGAAAAACTTTAACCTTGGCCATAACTTTTATATTGTTGGAGCTAGGGCTTTCATACTTCACATATGTAATCCTTGCGACAAGACCTTCCTTTGGATACCAACCCCCACTTTGACCTTTTGACCTTGACCTAGGAGTTTGACCTACTTTTGAAAAACTTTAACCTTGGCCATAACTTTTGAATGGTTGATGCTAGGGCTTTCATACTTCACATATGTAATCCTTGTGACAAGACCTTCTTTGGATACCAACCACTTTGACCCTTTGACCTTGACCTAGGAGTTTGACCTACTTTTGAAAAACTTTAATTTTGGCCATAACTTTTGAATGGTTTGTGCTAGGGCTTTCATACTTCACATATGTAATCCTTGTGACAAGATCTTCCTTTGGATACCAACCACTTTGACCTTGACCTTGACGTTTGACTTTTATTTAAAAAACTCTAACCTTCGCCATAACTTTTGAACAGTTGTATCTAGGTCTTTCAAATTTCACAGGTGTATTCCTCGAGACAAGACCTTTCTTTAGGTTTCAACATTTTTTATCTTTTGGCCTGGATTTTGACTTGCATTTGAAGAAACTTTAACCTTTGCCATAAGCTGCCATACGGGGGCATCAGTGTTTCACAAACACATCTTGTTTAAAACTTTTATCTCTAATTGAACTTTCTAAAACATTTGTTGTTGAAAATCTGTGCATTCATTTGCATTGTTGCGTAAAGGGCGCTACGTCACTACCTGTTGTCATTCCTGTTACAAAAAAGTATTGATTCTAAGTTATAGCAGGCCTCTAAGTAGCCTCTAAAATTTAGACGCCAGCTGGCGCCTTATCAAAAAAATTAGTCGCCAATGCAAATATTTAGTCGCCAGGCAATGTTTCTAAGGTGCCAACTTTAAAAGTCAATAGAATATAGGGATCCATTAGGTGCCTAAGAAAACACGACATGTCCATTGCTGAAAATATAATTTCCTCTTCTTTTAAATTTCTTTTCGCTTTTTCAGAAAAAATTGTAAAATATGTGAAAATTTCCAGAATTCGACGATGGCCAATTCAATTTACATGTAAAATGGTCGCCATTTGGCGACTTATGGAAAAATTTTAGGCGCCATGATGACTAAATTAGTCGCCAATCAGAGCCCTGTATAAGATACATAGAGGTCACAGGAAGGTCAAAGAATTCGTCAATTTCCAAATTTTCTCATCTTTATTTAATTTTTAATCAATTTCAAAGAACAATTCGTTTCAGCAAACACAAAGCACAAGTTTGCCTGTCGAATTTTATATATTTCATGCACATCTATCAGATACATCATGTGCATAAATTTAAACTATCAGATAGGCAATCAGATAGGCAAGCATGTGCTTTATGTTTCCCGAACTAGAAAGTATTTAAAATGGAGCAAAATTCCATCAGAACTGAGGAAATTCGGTAAGATGCTCTAAATTGTCTTCCTCTTGAGGCCTTTATGAACGATTAACACACCTTGTCCTTTCTTTAAATAATATGTGGACGAAGTACAATGAAATTCTAAGTAGTCAATTGCTTTTCTGTCTTTGTAAAAGTTTAATAAAGATTCAATGAACCTGAAAACCTTTTTTTTTTTTTTTTTTTTTTTTTTTTTTTTTTTTTTTTTTAAAAGTTTCCATTTGTGCAATCAAGATATACATATAGCAGCCATATTTTTGTTTGATATGTTTCTGGTGTCAACCCATAATAATGAGCACAGTTTTATCAAAATTGTTGACCATGCGTACATTAAGCAGTTACAGAAAGTTACTTTTAAAATGTTAGTAAGGCAGTAATAAACATTTATCTAGCGTATTATTGCTCGTGCTCCAGCAATACATAAACTCTTTTTGTAAACGAGTTGGAAGTATCAGGTTATATTACTAAACAGAAAATGTTCATTAATGTAAGCGTCCTTGGAACTAGTTATGACTTAATGGATGTTAATCAAAGTTTTTAATTTAATGTTCATTTTGCTTTATTTCAGCAGTTCCATCTTCGATGACGTCAGTGTACAACTAATCAAACCATGTTATCAGATGTGCAGTTTGCCACAGCGGACTACGTCGTATGCGTACTTGCTTTATGTGTGTCGCTTGCCATTGGTATTTACTATGCTTTTTCTGGCGGACGACAGGTCACCACCTCAGAATATCACCTTGGAAACCGTAATCTCAACTTTTTACCAGTAATGCTCTCTTTGATGGTGACGTCACAATCGTCGATTTTGATTTTGGGTGTCCCAGCAGAGACTTATCTCTTCGGTTTCCTGGCAACGTTTGCTGGTTTTGGATTCTGGGGCGCCTATTGGATTTCTGCACGAATAATTATCCCTGTAGTATATCCACTCCGGATCACCAGTGTTAACGAAGTGAGGTTATAGTAAATAACTGAATTGTATACTGCCTGTAAAATAATGTTTTTCTCCATCAAAATTATACATGTACCTATAAAATAAATTTTATTAACTTATTTAATTGTAGTATTTTGAATTACGTTACCAAAGCAACCGAGTTCGGATCCTAACAACTTTTCTGTCCTTTTTATTTTGGGTAAGTCTGTATTTATTTCAAGGTGACCTTAAGTAACTTTTAAAAGCACTCTTAAATTATGAAAATTGCAAAAATTTTTGGCTTCTAATTTTCTGCCTAATAGAATAGAATAAGAGACATAAGTAAATGTATGTAGTATTATAAAGCTCAGGTATGTACGTTATTGTTGACAACCTACACGAACGATTCTAGTTACAAGAACGATTCCGTACGATTAATGCACGATTAAACCTGATATACGAACGATTCTACACGTCTACCCCCAAGGTGCCCTGTTACAATGCAAAATGTAATAACAACACAAAATGTAATAAACGGGGATTATTACATTTTCGTTATTACATTTTGTGTCGAAATCAACGCAAAATGTAATAACAAACATTTAAGGATTATTACATTTTGCGTTATTATATTTTTCGTCGAAATTAAAGCAGAATGAAATAAAGTACTTTTTGATTACTAGTATTTAAGGATGTCAACGAATATTCGATTATTCGAATATTCATTAGTTGAGTTGATATTCGAATAAGAATTTATGATTCGAATATTCGGGGTTTTTTCCCAAGATTTTTTTAAAAAAGAGATAACTATGATTAATTTCGAGGACAACAAAATGAAACCCTTCTTTGTCAGTCTAAAAGATGCGAAGAGTTTACTTGACAAAATAAATTCATTGATCATTGAATTACTTGTTTTATCGAATTAGTCCGTAATACCGTTAAGGGATCAATTGCAGAATAAATTGCATTAATTACTTGATTATCTCGGGTTGTACATATTCCAAATTTTAAAAATCATTTTTGGGGAAATAGTTAATTATCTACGAAAATTGTCCATGGAAGTGTTTGTTTATGTTTTGAAACTCTTATTGGATAGATAATTGTAATTAATTATATGCATTTAAATCTGAACAGTATACGACAATATTGCCCTTGGTAAGACGATCAGTTCATCATTTAGAGCTTCAAATTATATTTTTTTAGAATTATATTTCGGATATTTACATGTAGGCTCAGATCAATAGATTTATTTCAAAGATCGATAAATAACAAATGTAAAATTCCTTATTGTACACCTATAAAATTTTACACCCAATTTTTCTTCCAAATCTGTCATAAGGGTAAGATGATGCATATATAAAATTAACTAAATCTCATCGAATATTTAAATATATTCGAATACTTTCATTGAATATTCGAAAATGAATTATTGACAAAATTGACATCCCTACTAGTATTACATTTTGCGTTATTTAATTTTTGCGTTTAGGGTAACGCAAAATGTAATAAAATGAAAATGTAACAACACAAAACATAATAATTTTTTTGTATTGTGTTCAACGCAAAACATCATAAAATTGATTTGAACATATTTTTAATATTATAAAATATGAATAGGTATTGTGCCGAAGTGGATGAGTCGGTTAGGAGTATAAAATTCTTTTTAAGGTACTTTTCCTTTGATTATGCATAAAAAAGCTTTGTCTCTTAGAATTTTGAGTTTTGGTTACCTAGTAATTTTTTGCATTGCACCCTCCTATCATAAAAATTGTATATCTACTGAATGCTAGTAGTACTGAATTCAAAAATGATTGTAAATCGGTGGAATTTAATCAATGATATAATGGGCGAATCAAATATCGGTTACTCAAATATTCGTAAACACAGGAAATGGCATGTCCTTTGCATTAATTTAGGGAGAAAAAAATTAAATTAATAAAAATTGTCATGTCTGAAAACCAGGAAATCGGCACATTATATTTGATCCCTTGAAATGGAACTTGCATTATTTCTTAGATCAGGAAACGGCTAATAATAAAGGAATACGAGGATCGTTTAATAAATAATGCAAAAAGTTATCTAAAAATAAGGAAAGTACGTAATACATGTTTTTAATATTTTCAATATCTCAGAGTATTCCCTTTTACCTTTTACACATGTCTTAGGTCTTTGTACCCATGACCAGAAAACCTCAGCATACTCATCTTTAGGGATGTCCCAATGACACTGAAGAATAGCACTTCATGACATTTCTGATATTGTACAATCTTCCTTTGATTGTTTTCTTGTGTTTTTTGAAATAAAAAGATCTCACAATGACTGTTAATTAGCGAATATGGGGGTTGGCAAAGCTCTTTAAACTTTCTTTTCTTTAAAGATATACACGCTATAACTTGCGTCACTTAAAAATAAAGTTGGAAATTTATTTATTTCGTTTACCAAATAAAGTTACGAAAATATTGTAAATTACACAATTGGAAATGAACGCATTATAAAGATCTCAAATTGTAATTATTTATTATCCTACTAGGAAAGTAATGCCTCTATTTGAATTCATGCATCATGTGACACCGTCGCTACTTTTAGATTGATAAACAAAAATGGCGTCAAGAAAACGAGGTAGGCCGTTTGGTATACAAAATAACTTTTGATATGGATGGCATACGTTTTATGCTTAAAGATACTTACCTTTCAAAACAACCAGTATTAACCATCTACTCTGTAATGACAGATATTAACTTTTATTCAAAATCGTAGTCAAAATGCAACGTACCTCGTTGTCTATGATTTCCCGCGGACATGCGTGTCTATATACTGTTTACGCACTTCCTTCATCAATATTCATGAATAGGCTGAATTCTTAATTGCAGATCTTGCTTATTTGTTTTATTTTTACAACGACTTATTTAGTAAAACTTTGTGGAAAGTAATTATTTTTTATTACACATCATGTTTCTCAAATCATTTAATCACTTTGTTTCACATAAAAAATCGCGTTTATATAGCGTGTATATCTTTAAAATTTCATTTATTTCTTTATGCTTATTTGCAGCAGCGTTGTTAGGTACAGGAAGATTACCCTGGGAACTGGTATTTGGACTTCCTTGTACAGAAAATCTGTTTTAGTGCATTTTGAGCATAAATTAAAGTAACCATTGATGGTCCCTCATTTGGGTGTATGTACATGTTTTACCGGACCTCTTCAGTTCTTGAAAAAAAAAATGAAAACTAGAAAAACACGTTTATAGCCCTTGTTTCTCTTTACAATATTTATACGGCTGCTTTTTCTTTGATTTAACATTTTACGAGTATTATTGATCTTCCTTTTCGGATATAAAAAGTGCACCCATGTTTCGTCATTCATCACGAAAGTTTATCAAATCTTCTATTTTGTTAAAATATTTGTTTTTAAATAGACCATTGGCACTTTTAAAACGTGTTTTCCCTTAGGCATTTGTAAAAAAAAAATAAGACACCTATCTCATAGAAATATTATTATATTCATTTCCTTTCTCAGAATTCTATAAAATGTGATGATGAAATGTTTAGTGTCCTAGCAAAGTCTTTCAGTTTAAATCTGGCATTTTCAGATATCATGTTGCACACAGCATCGATATTTTTGGTGTCCTTTCAGATTTCAATAGACCAGTTTGACCATTACATTTCAACTCTTCTTTTTTACTTCTGAATTTCTGAATCCATCTGAAAACTATACAGCCTTAAAGACTATGCTTTCCACATATAAAAATCAAATCCTTAATATGAGTTCTTCATGCAGCGATTTATGTGCAGAAGCACGTTTTCACATACGCTTCCATTTTCATCTTCTTGGCAGAGATCATCTTTAAACAATTTTCAGCTCAGTGTAGTGACCCTGCTTACTTTAAAAGTGAATTTCTTTGCGAGGACAATAGGAAAAGTCTTGGGGTGTTCTATTATAAGAAGCTCTTTAATAGAACTTTTCAACTGTGAAAAAATAAAATGATATACTTCTACATTTATTATGATATACTGTATGTTGCATTATTTTTTGAACGACCCTCGGATATATAATCATTGGTATGAAAATTATTCACAACCTAACTGACCAAAAAGTGTGTTTTTATACTTTGCATTGTTGCATTTTGCTTAATATCGACGTGAAATATAACAGCAAAAAATATAATAATCCAAAAAAAAAAAAAAAAAAAAAAAAAAAAAAAACGTATTACATTTTGCGTTATTAGATTTTGCGTTGACATCAATGCAAAACGTAAGAAGGCAAAATGTAATATTCCTAGAGTATCTTATTACGTGTTTACACTGTTAATAAATAAACAAATTAAATTATTTATAAAACAGCAATTTCGGATCATCCTACGGACTGCTTGATTTACCTTATGAATATAAGAAAAATAAATTATCTATATTCTATTAAAGGATTATATTTCTTTCACTCCTACAAAATGCAGTAAACAAGCTAATTCAGAGAATGTGTGCCCCCGCTTAGGGAAAAAAGAAGAGCATGCGCAGTTCTGGGGGGTGGGGGTCCGACTCCCCCCTCCTGGATTTGTAGAATTATTAAATGTATACATGTAAATTGAAGCAAATAAAAAATGCCAAGATATGGATATAAAGATTTTATTGCTTATTCTTTAAAATGTGTATAGAAGATTCTTTTTATATAGAATAGTTATCACACTGTAGTCGCCCGCGTGGCGCAGTGGTTAGAGCGTCTGCTCTAGAGTCGCGAAGTAAGGAGTTGATCCTTACGTCGCGGGTTCGAATCCCACTGTGGGACTTGGAGACCGGTCCTTCGGATGAGACCGTATAAACCGAGGTCCCGTGTCGCAGTAGGTGCTGGCACGAAAAAGATCCCTCACTGCTCAATGGCCGTAAGTGCCGAGTATAGGACAAAATTTGCAGCTATCTACCGGCAAGTGGTGGTGTCTCCATATGAGTGAAAAATTTTCGAAAGGGACGTTAAACAATATGCAAACAAACAAACAAATTATCACACTGTAATAATGATTTTATGAGTTTGTACACACCAGACGTTATAATTTTTTTCATTTCACATGTCGAATACTATCATTTATAGTTTAAAAAAAAAAGGATCGTCTGGGATTTGAACCCGGGTCTCTCGCTTCCAAGCCAGCATCATAACCCTAGACCACGGAGGCACTTGCTTATACAGCAGATTAAATCAAACAGTAGGTCACATATAATGTTTATATTCACGTTCGATATTGTCAAAATTTTACTCAATACATGTTGTCTAATTTAGGCTTTACTAAACAGTTCTAATAGATGTAATTAGAATATAAAGTCCGCCGACAACCTGTATTATACGTAATAACTCTCCACATGCCCCTGTGCTAAAAATTTTGCCAAGCGACTTTTAATACAATAAATAAAAAACGGGGCGGGACACTTTTAGAGGGGCGAGAAAGGCCATAGGGAGTTACGGAATAAAATTTCATTTCAAAAGCTCAAAAGCTTTTGCAATGAAATTTTATACCGTAACTCCCTATGGCCCCTCTCGCCCCTCTTAAAATGTCCCGCCCCGTTTTTTTATTTATTGTATTAAAAGTCGCTTGGTACTATTTTTAGCACAGGGGCATGTGGAGAGTTATTACGTATAATACAGGTTGTCGGCGGACTTTATTGTCTTTATTATATTTTTATTACATCTATTAGAACTGTTTAGTAAAGGCTAAATTAGACAGCATGTATTGTGTAAAATATTGACAATATCGAACTTGAATATAATCATTATATGTGACCTACTGTTTGCATTTAATCTGCTGTATAATGAAGTGCCTCCGTGGTCTAGGGGTATGATGATGGCTTAGCAAGCGAGAGACCGGGTTCAAATCCCAGACGATCCTTTTTTTTTTTTTTAAACTAAATGATAGTATTCGACATGTGAAATGAAAAAGTTATGACGTCTTGTGTGCACAAACTCATAATATCATAATTACAGTGTGATAAATATTCTATATAAAAAGTATCTTCTATACACATTTTAAAGAATAAGCAATCAAATCTTTATATCTATATTTGCATTTTTTTTATTTGCTTCAATATACATGTATACATTTAATAATTCTACAAATCCGGGGGGGGGGGGGGGACCCAGAACTGCGCATGCTCTTCTTTTTTTCCCTAAGCGGGGGACACAAATTCTGAATTAGCTTGTTATGTTTGCTATCAAGGTGATATTTTTAAATCAAAAGTGATCAAAGATTTGCCTGAAGCGGTAATTGGTTCTTTAAAGAAACTTTTTTTAAAAAAAGATCTTTAGACTTTTTATTTCTAATAGGTAAGAAAAGTTATTGATTGCGTTAAGTAAATCGTCTTATTAACATATTTATCAGACTAAAGAAAGATACTTTTTAAGCTTTTAGAAATAACAATCGAAAAATGAACATTTCAGAAAAAGATGTGTGTTTTATTTTAATTAATCTTGAATTATAGTTCATATCTTATTTTCATTTTTAGTTTTGAAGTTCAAAATATTTTATTTCCATTTCAGTTCATATATATAGGTATTGTTACATACGGGGTATCTACAGCAATAGAAACAGGTATATGTATAAACAATATTGCATTCTCTAGATAATAACTAAGTTAAAATATTAACACTAATATTTTTTGTAAATTTTGAAATTATGTTCAATCTAAATCGTGTGACATTTAGGAATATTTGATTTATAATATGTCTGTCTTAAGATGGATATTTTATAATATATACTAGCTCTCATTTCTTTGGTACATATTTACGTCAGGCCAGACCTGTCATGGCAGCTGATGAAAACGACTGGAAAACTTGCAGTTGCATTTTACCTTGTGTTAGCGTATTAAGGGCTAGGTTGGTGAAAATGACTGAAAAATCCATCTTATTCGAAGGAAGTTGAATCTAAAAACGATTTACATGTATACTGCCTGAAGACAACCGTATTCAATAAAATATATTTGCACCAATAATAATTTGGTTAAAGGGCAAAGTCCGTTGTGCATAAATCATCTCACATTTACGCTGATGTCCCTGGCATACCAAACAAACTAGACAGTGATTCTTTATATTTACATTTATATGTGAGATAAAATTGTAAATGTAAATTTAAAAAAAGCTGTCTAATAGATTTAAAATAAAAGAGGCACCCTATGTTAATTTCAAAAGTCCGCTCACTGACGTCAGACACAAAGACAGCCGCAAGAGATTGACATGCATTTTAGGCTCCTGACCTTTCACTTTGTGAAATTTACGTTCAGGTGTAATAATGAAGAAATCAACTTACCTGATTTCAAAGAGGTAGTACAGGAAAAACAATTAAAAATGTAAATATATACATTTAAACTGTTAACTTTTAATGAAAGAATTTCCCTTGTTATTATGAACATTTTGAAATAAATTATAAGACATTTAATCAATAATCTTGAATTAGAACCTATATATATGGCAAATCTCAAGAACCACTAAGTCAGAAAAGCTGAAACTTATGTGGAAGCATTCTTGGGTAGTGCAGATTCTAAATTGTTCAAAACATGACCCCTGGGGTTAGGTTTGGACCATAATAAAGAAACAAAGTTTACCATTGAAATGCATAGGAAAGATCTTGAAAAATCTCTTCTCAAGAACCACTGGACCAGAAAATCAGTAACCTATGTGGATGCCTCCTTAGATAGTGTAGATTCTAAATTGTTCAAAGCATGACCCTACAAAGCAAAACAAAAGAAAACAAAGCCACAATAAGTATGACAAGGGGAAAATCTGGTGCAGCAGGGCTAAAGTCACTCAGGTGAGCGTTGTGGCCCATGGGCCCCTTGTTAAAATTATTATTATTATTATTATTCGTGATTTTTTTTTTTGGTTGTAAGCTTTAGCATTGTTTGTCCTTTTTTTCTAATTAAACATAGTGATATTTAAAGTTCTGAACCATGAAAGTTTGAAATATGTTAGCTCAATATGTAAAGATTTATGTATGCCAGTTTGTAAAACAATGTTTTGCTATAATAGTTTTAATAATATAACGTTGGAACAGTCTTAGCGAGAATGTTGAAAACTCTTCATCATTATCTCTAAGTGGGGAGCAAATAATAAACCATTTAGGTACTTTAACTTTGGTAATGGAAAAAAGAATATCTTACATTGTCAGTTGCGAAACTTGATTGTGAATCTTTATTTTTTAATATCAGCATGTTTATTATTATTATTATCTATATTGTCTCTGTTTTGACCTATTATACAAGGAGAGAGTTTGCATAGGCTTTACCTGTTTCCCAGTCCTTATTGAATTATTCAATAAAAATATGTTAAAAGTTAAAGTAATATCTTTTAATAAAATTTTGATAATGAATTCTTATTGTGTGTGCTTTTTTAAGTTTTAGGAGCCCCAGTTTGGCTGTCTATAGTTATAGTGTCCACGGGAAGTATGATTTATACAGCTATTGTAAGTAATAGTATATATCAAATATTGTGAATAAATATAATAAATAAATAGTAAAGAAAATAAAAATAAGTGAGTAACATATGACGTTATTGTTATAGTTATCATAACAATATATAAAGTAAGTGTGATATACAGCTATCGTAAGTAAATTACAGCCATAGTACGTACATCTTCAGCTATCGTAAGTATATATACAACTATAGTAAGTATATATACACTAATCCTAAGTATATATGCACTTATCGTAAGTATATAATAATGTAAAACTATCGTGAGTATAAATACAACTATCGTAAATAAGTATAAATACACTTACTGCATGTGTAATATTCTGCTATTGTAAGTATATAATAAAGTTATTGTCAATATATTTATGAATATCACAAGTAGATATACAGTTGTCGTAAGAATATATATAATTATCATAAGTACATTTACAGCTGTTGTAAGTATATATATATATATATATATATATATATATATATATATATATATATATATATATATATATATATATATATATATATATATATATATATATATATATATATATATATATATATATATATATATATATATATATATATATATATATATATATATATATATATATATATATATATCTTCTTCCTACAACTCTGAAGTGGTACCAAACTTTTTACAAGTAGTACTCTAAGTTGCATATACGAAAGCATTAAAGAATTGTTATAATTTCTAAAACACAAAGTTTTCTATGCCCTCTGGATAAATTTGTCGAAAAAAGAGAAACACCTGTTATCTCTTTATCTTATAGCCTGCTTTTACCCCTTTTAATTCTATTAAATGCAAAAGCAATCCATCTTTTGTAATTTAGTTGTAATGTCTTTTATTTCAATCTTCAAACAGATATGTTTGAATCCTTTTGTAGTTAACGTCTTTTATTTCAATTTTGAAAAAAAAAGGTTTGAACCATAAGTTATACATTCTCCTCCCATAATAAGATAGAATATCCTTTTAACGTTAAGAATGGTATTTTAAAAAAGGGAGATAATTCCAATTTTCATTGCTAGATGCTTGCCGAGATCAACAAAGCACTAGCAATTTATTGATCCACAGTTGAAGTTCGATATCTCGAACTTCGATATCTGAAATACAAAAAATATATCTAAGCGAACTGGAAGTCTTATAACCACCTTTTCTCTATGTATTTTGATATAAATAGTAGTATGCCGAGTCCTTGGATTTCTCAAGGTTATTTATTGGTCTTGTTAAGTTCGAGATATTTTAATTAAAGAGAAACCCATAAAAGATTTCTACTACTGAATAAGCCATTGGTAATGAAAATAAGTTTTAGATTAAAAAAAGGCAGTTTATTACAAGCGAGAGGGATAAGTAAAAAATGTGCCATTTTTTTGCAGCCTAAAATACAAATGTAAAAACTGAAAAGTTCATATGTAAATTACAGATAAGTATGCTGATTAGAACTACGCCTAAAATAATTACTAGTTGACATTTGGTTCAATATCAGATTTGAAATTTCATGTGCCAATTTTCATGTAAATTCAGGGACGACACTGATGCCGGTACAACATAAATATATATTATAATGGTGTTTATGTATATATATTTTATAATTTTCCTAATAATTAGCTGCTTTTACGCTGAAATTTCATGGCTTCATTATTTTAACACAATTTCAAAGGCGTCACATCTGGCAAAAGTTTCCCTTTAAATCATTATTAGATTTTTAAAACATTATTAGATTTTTAGCTCACCTGAGCTTTTCTGATCACCCGTTGTCCGGTGTCCGTCCGTCTCTCTGTCTGTCCGTCAATTCGTCTGTAAACTTTTCACATTTTCAACTTCTTCTCAAGAACCACTGGGTCAATTTTAACCAAAGTTACTACATAGCATTCCTGGGTAAAGGGGGGATCTAAAAAGATGTTTTCATTTGTTCATTGTTAAAATGATAGGCCAAGCCCCCTTCGAGTGGAGATTTTTTTTTTAAATCTTCTTCTCAAGAACCACTGGTCCAGGAAAGCTGAAACTTATGTGGAAGCTTCCTGAGGTAGTGAAGATTCTTAATTGTTCAAATCATGGCCCCGGGAGTAGGATGAGGCCACACTTATAGGGAATTGAAATCTAAGGGTAAGATCTTTAAGAATCTTTTTCAAGAACCATTAGACAAGTAAAGCTGAAACTTATGTAGAGGCTTCCTGAGGTAGTGTAGATTCTATTTTTTTTTTTCAAATCATGGCCCCAGGGGTAGGGTGGGGCCGCAGTAGAGAATTAAAGTTTAACATTCATATATATGAAAAAATCTTTAAAAATCTTCTCAAGAAACACTTGACCAGGAATGCTGGATCATATGTACAGCATCCTGAGGAAATGTAGATTCTAAATTGTCCAAAACAAGGCCCCGAGGGTAAGGTGGGGCCACAATAGGGAATCGAAGTTTTACAGTGAAATATATAGGAAAAGTCTTTAAAAACCTTCTTCTCAAGAACCGCTGGACCATAAAAGCTGAATCATATGTGGAAGCTTTCTGAGGTAGAGTAGATTCTAAATCGTTCAAATTATGACACCTGGGTGTCAGGTTGGGCCACAGTATGGATTTTATAGGGGAAAATCTTTAAAACTCCTCAAGAGCAAATCCATGATGAACCATCTTAATGTGGAAGCATCTTCTGGTAGTGTAGATCCAATTTCGTTCAAATCACAACTCCAGCGTAAAGGATGGGGCCTCACAATGTGATAAAAAATACAGAGGAATACATGTATCTTGGTTTAAATAAAAGGCCAAAGTTACTCAGATGAGCGTTGTGGCCCATGGGCCTCTTGTTAAGAAATCGCTTTGTCAATTTTCAGCTTCGTAAGACTAAAGCACTTATAAACTAGTGAAGTTTGTTTTGTGTCTCCTTCAGTTCAGTAGAATTAACTTTTGGTGTTTTGTTTGAGATGTTAAATTTAGAAAAATATAGATATTTGCTCGAATTTATGCTAAATCAACAGAACTTTATAGAATTTTGCATTTTACGTCAAAGGTTCTTGTATACATGTTGTTCGATATATTTACTTAAATAATTTCTCATCTTTATCCCAAAAACCCTTTGCTTGATAGACACCAAACATCAGTAGAGGTCGCGATAGCCTAGTGGTAGGGTGCTTGCTTCATGATCAGGAGGTACCGGATTCTATTTTTGTTCCCGGTGCCGCGTCAAACCAAAGACGTAAACATAGGTAGTGATAGTACCTACGCCAAGCTCCCGGTGCCAGAAGTGAATGTCACGGGTCTTTCGAATGAGACCTTAAAAATCGAGGTCTTGTGTCACTGTAGGTGTTGACACGATGAAGAACCCTCGCTACTCAATGACCCTGAGTGCCGAGTAAAGGTCTTAATTTGAAGCCCTTCACCGATATACGTTGACGTCTCACAAGAGTCGCTGTCACGGTAGCTCAGTCAGTAGAGCGTTCGCTCCGTGATCGGAAGGACCTGAGTTCGAATCACAGCCACGACTGACATAAGTCGATAAAAAATAGACAGCAACTGTTTCTTCGGCAAGTGCTCGGCACTTTGAAGTAAACGTAGCGGGTCCTTTGGATGAGACCTTAAAAACTGAGGCCCCGGTAGGCGTTGGCACGATAAAGATCCCTCACTGCTCAATGGTCCTGACTGCCGAGTAAATGTTTAAATTTGAAGCCCTTCACCGGTATATGGTGACATCTCTATATCAGTAAAAAATTATCGAAATAACAATCAATCATTCAAGTCAAGGTTGGGTATGGCAAATTAAATTTATTGATCACCCTTTAAGGAAGAGAAAGTTAATTTTAGAAATAGAGATATTAACGCTGCATACAGAGAGGTGTTTGCCCTGTTCTATTTTCGGTTGAGGCTATCTGGTACCGCTTGCAGGGTGGCTGGCAGGAGTTATCTCTCCATAAGTGCGTACGAGTTATCTCGCATTACAACGGTGATAACCATGAATTTGTACCCTTATTAAAAAGTTCCACATCAATCGTTCTATAGAAAGGTTAATGTTTATTTAATATGTAAAACGTAATAATTAAGAAAAAGAAAGGGAGCGAGACAAATAAAGTCCTCTAATTATTGATTTGGGACCATATAGTGCACGGAGCCCCCCCCCCCCCCCCCAAAAAAAAATGTAAGATGAAGTTTATTTTTTAAATTATTTAGTTATTTTTAGTTATTTTATATATATATATATATATATATATATATATATATATATATATATATATATATATATATATATATATATATATATATATATATTATTTTATGCACATATTTTTATTATTTATTTATTTATTTATTTATTTTTGTAAATACATACCTTTTGTTTATCACTCGAGACTACGATGTTTTTAGTTACCTTTTGTTGTTATTCTTTTCTTTTGACAATGTTCACTCGCTTTGTCATTCTCGCAGGCATATAGCACCGAACGACTTTCTTCTTGAAATTGAAACTCTTATAAATTAAAGTAAAACAAATAAGGGAATTTTGAATCCCACTCCATGTATCAGCGAATGCCGGTATGCAAAGACTCTACATAGACCTTTTATTATATACTTATTTACAATCTAATCAAGGGTCGAAAGGAAGTGTTTTTGAATGTCTCCAAGTTATTAACAGTTCTCTCTGTCTCTGTCTGTCTGTCTGTCTGTCTGTCTCTCTCTCTCTCTCTCTCTCTCTGTCTGGCGGTAGTGAACCCCTGACTCAATCCGTGCTTGCTGTGTTCTACATTTATTCTAAATTTCAGACACTCTTTGTTAACTTTCTAGTCATCATCTTCTAATTCACCGAAAATTTTTCTGTTTTTTTTTTTCTTTAATATATTTCATCCCATATTTACACAGTGAACATAACAATGCCATGATAACCTTGTACAATTTACAAATAATGATAGCGTTTATAACATAGGTCCAACTAGTATTTCAAAACTATCCCAAAAATATAATTCGGCATCTATATGTATGCCCTCCCCCAACTCCCTAT